ACGATCGACTGGATTTGGCCAATAGTACGCCGATCTGGCCTTTTTCGGCTAGATCCACCATGCAGCTGGCCGAAAAATGCTAGATCCATGGCCCAAGATTTGGCCATTGACGGCTAGATCTTTGGCCACATCTAGCCATCAATGACGGCTAATATATGGCCATCGTTGATCGTCAATGACGACTATATCTTTTGCCGTCGTTGACAGCCAGACGTGGCCAGATCCGGTCATAGATCTAGCATTTTCTGACCAGATCCGTGGCGGTACACGACCGGCCAAATTTGGTCAGTTATGCACAATGACACCAGATTTCAGCGGTGGTGGCTGGAATCTAGCAATTATGGATGGGTGGGGGTGTTTTTGTTAATTTATAAACTTTTTATCGGGGGTGTTTAGCTAAATTAACAAACCTAGAGGTGTTTTTTGTTAATTTTTGAATCGTACCTCGTAAAAATAACCCAACTCAACTTAACAATAATATTTCAAAAATACTACTCAAAATAATTAAACAATCACACCCTTTGATTTTCACTAAGATAACGTCATGGGAAAAGAATGATTCCACCTTGCTTTGGGATTTTTGCTTGATTCCAAAAGTGTGTATATACCATACCACAAACCTAAGACATATGCACCCATCCCCTCGCTCTCGCTAAGAGAATAAGAGCAATTCATTAGAAACATGTGTAAAGTATGAGTCCTGCAACCTCTTTTTTGCTTGTAGTAGCATACACATATAGAGGTTATACAATGTCGTGTTAAATGACACGTGGAGTGTGATAATAGCTGACAATTATGATATTTCAAAATACCAATTTTAATTGCTTTTTGTACTGTTATGTTCTAAAAGTAATTGAATTCTTGGACTGTTATGCTATTAAAAGAGTAATTGAATTCTTGGACTGTTATGGTATTAAAAGCAATTGAATTACTTCAGTTACGAATGAATTAAGGGAAAACGGGCAGATTTTCAAGTATAAAAATGGGTGTGCTTCTCATTTGACTAATACAATTTTACTTGAAAGAATCCTTGTTTCCTCTGTTTTTTTATTAACTTTCTAGCTCTCCTTCGTGACTATTACATTTCCTTATGTTGTTCTAAACCGCTATTACTTACAAGGCAATATAAGACTTGGAAACTTTTCGTAAAGAAGTATTGGTTAAAGTTTAGAGTTATGTCTTACAAGTTCTTCGTGTTATATTAGCCAAAGCCAAACTAAAATATTTGTTTTGCAATAAAATTAAGTGTGAAAATTTACTACTTATATGTGTGTAACTATTCCGTGTAAGGTTGTTAAATAGTAAGAAACTGAAATTTATTGAAGAGGAGACTTTCGAAAGACACTTGCAATAAAATTTTAACGTTATATTTTTCAGGTTGTGCATGGAGAAATAGAAAATAAGGTTTTGTAAGACCGTAAATGTTTACAACTATACGTGTAGTTTGATCCCTTGTATAAAGTCGACAATTATAATTGGTCTTAACAAAGTAAGTAGTTATATAATATGCAAAAAAATGTAATACCCAGAAAGAAAATTTTAATATGAAAACACTTTGCAAATTATCGGTCCAAGGCACCTAAACTTTATAAATAAAATGCTAAACTTGTAAGTACATTACAAAATAAATATCGCATATAACATAAAAGCTGTAATTGTAAATTGAAGTTGTAAAAAAAATTAAGAAAATGTATAAGTTTAAATTTTACTTATAAATTATTATGTAAAACTGGTAAAGAATCTCATGAAACTTATAAATACCACAAATAACGAGAAAGTTGTATCCAAATACATGAAACTTATATTAATAAATAAAAGAAAAGTAAAGTAAATTTTTACTTATAAATTACAACACAAAATAGATAAAGTGCATAAATCGTTTTATAAATCCAGTAAATAACGTGAAAGTTGTATCCAAGTACATGAAACTTATATTATTAATAAATAAAAGAAAAGAAAAGTATAATTTTACTTATAAATTACAAAACTAAACAAATAAAGTACATAATGACTTTTATAAATATAACAAATAAGGTGAAAGTTGTAACCAAGTACATGAAACTTAATAGAAGAAAATGAAAGTAAAAATTGACTTACAAATTACAACACAAAACATATAAAGTACAAAAAGAATTTTATAAATACAACAAATAACATGAAGGTGTAATTAATTTAAAATAACTTATAAAAGCAGAAAGAAATGTAATAAATGAAACCTTACTTATACAATAAAATGTAGAACTTGTAAATTACAATATGAAAGATGAAAATTTTGTGTGGAACGTAAAAGTTGAAACTACATATGTATAACTTATAATAGTAAATATAAGAATAATAGTAGAATCTTGACTTACAAGTGAAACATAAAATTTGTAATCTATAATGTGAAACTTGTAAACTGTTAACGGAATATCATGGTAAAGATGTAAGTGAAACCTATATACCATAACGTGAAATATTTGACAATAGGCTTTATTTCATTTTAACAATAATGAATTATCAATTTTAATAAGTTACATGGTTTATTTCATTTTTCTCTACTGGTGTGTTTGGTTCAAAGAATGTTGTATTAGTAGGAATGTTATATTAATGAAAAGATAGATTAAATTAAAGATTAATGGGAATGTTTAGAGAAATATTTTTGGTTGGTTAGAATAAATTAGTGGGTATGTTATATAAATTACTAAATTGCCCTTATTTTTTAATATTAATATTATATTATTTTTATATTATTTTTTGAATAGTTTCTTTTAACCCCATACATTTAAGATTTAGCTAAAACACCCCAGCAACAAAAAAAAGTTAAAATTTAACAAAAACACCCCCATCCACCCTAAGCCACTGTCGGCGACCTACCACCACTGTCGTCGGCGGCAACAGTGGCCATAATGGCGCACAACCGGTCAGATCTAGCCAGTTGTGCGCTGATCTAGTCGTTTTCGGTCATATCCATGAGGGATCTGGCCAGAACTGGTTGTCGTTAACAGCCATATCTATCTAGCTATTGTTCGTTGATGACGACCAAAGATCTAGCGGTCGTTAACGGCCAGAAGTCCTGGATCTGGCTATTTTCAGCCAGAGACTTGGCCAGAAATGGCTAGATCTGGGCACGTTCGGCTAGATTCGATCGATTGTGCCCTATTTCGATGTCAATCGTTGGCGGTGGTGGCCAGATTTGGCCACCACTATTGGGTAATTTTTTTAAAGTCTAGGGGTATTTATGTTCTAAAAATTTTGTATATAAGGATAAAATAGTCCATGAATATATTTGTAAATTGTTTTCAAAATAAGGGCATTATTATCCAAAAATTTTAATAGTTAAGGGTAAAATTGTAACAAAAATAAGAGTACCAAGTAATCTTAAAATATTTATAAAAATAAAGGTAATCATATTATCTTTTATATAACCAACAGTAATTACTATTGATTTTAGAAGATTACCGAAATCTAATACTATTTGACAACCAAACGTGGCAATCAAGTAATATAAGATGACATTACCTCAATAATGGAGGGTTACCTCTAACCAAACACACCCTACCAGATTGATTATTATTAAACTTATCCACTTCATTGAAAAAATATTAAATACCTCTTATAAAGAGTTTATATAATTTGTAAGAGGGTGTTTGTATTTTTAAAGAGGATTTTTTATATTTTTCAGAGAAATTATGATAATTACAAGGGTTTTTCTTTTTAATATTTTTGAGCTCTCACAAGGAAATAATGAATAAACCCATAAGTTATAATCTGATAAAATGCTAGGGCTGTGTTTGTTTTCCTATTCAAAATATTATCCTATCCAATCCTATTCAAAATACATATTTGTTTTAATATTCTCAAAATCCAGTCATATTCTATTCAACTCAAAATATTTATATTTTTTTAACCCCCTAGGTTTGTTAATTTAATTAAATACCCACAACAATAAAAGTTTATAAATTGATAAAAACACCCCCAACCACCCACATATTCCTGCAACCGACCACCGCCGCTGGAAGGTGGTTAGAATTTGCCGGAATGGCGCACGACCGATTGGATGTGGTTGGTCATCATGGATGTGACCGGAAAAAGGCTAGATCTACGGCTAAAGATCTGGCCGTCGTTGATGGCCAAACAATGACCGAGATATGTCCGTCGTTAATGGCCAGATCAATCCTAAATTTAGCCAGAAAAGGCCAGATCCAGCTAGTCATGCGCCATTTCGATGACTTCCGGCCACCATCCGATGGTGGTGGTTGACTACCGACATTTAATTGGTGGGTGGGGGTATTTTTGTCAATTTTAAATCTTTTATTGTAATGAATATTTAGCTAAATTAACAAATGTGGGAGATTAAAAATAATCTAAATATTTTCAAAAAATTACCAAATACCTTTTCAAATTCAAATTGTATTTTCGTAATAACAACTTAATTCAAGTTTTTCAAAAATACAATTCTAAATACTCCACCAAACACACTCAATAGAATATTACAAATGGTCAATAACATTAAAGCTTTCTAGACCTTACTCAACCATGGTACAAGCCTAAAATCATAATCTGTCATACAAATCTCACAACAGAACCGGTAGATTTTGACATATCATTTCAAAATAGAAATATGTGGTCAAGTAGGAGGATATTGTACCATCTTACTCTTCGCATGGAAGTGAAATTCAAGTTGGCTCAACCAGCATTTCATATGCATTTTCTCAGCCGAATCCGATCCGTGCTAGTGGATAGCAAGATTTATAATTAATAACATGCACATTTTGTATATTCCTTAATGTACTGAGATATATCTTGAAAGAATTTGAGAGAACAATATCAACCAATCCTTACAACAGCCTACCTACCGAACTCATAAACTTTCTTCCATAAAATTCTAATTTGTTATTTAGAAATTTTTCTTTTCATCGATGGCAAAAAAGACAAATCATATCCATTATAGTTCAACTTCAAATTCTGCAGTTCACTACATTTTCTTTTATGGAATTCCTAATTTGTTATTCAGATATTTTTCTTTTCATCGAGGGCAAAAAAGACAAATAAATCCATTATGGTTCAATTTCAAATTCTTAAATGCACTCTTTTTTCTCGCATTTTCCATTTGCCTTCTCGTTCATCAGGCTAAATTTAACTAAACGCTTCACCTAGTTCCCATTAAAGCTCTAGCTGTCCTCAATAGCTGCGCGATTTTGATAATTATCAAGCAAGCTATTGCTAACCTAATTTTTTTCGTCAATGGAGCTGCAACCACACGAACAAGAAGAACAACAATTACTATTGAAATCAACTTCAGAACCTGAATCCATGGTCACAGTGACACTCGGCAGAGTGATGAGCACGCTCCTCTCCGCTCGCCCTAAAAAGCTCCACGACTCCATTTCTCGCCTCTCTCCTCAACACAAAACGACGTCACTTGGTAACATTACCTTTCTATAAATACCTAACATTTTTAATTGCGTTTTTCGTCTGTGTTTTAATTGGTTTTATTTTATTTTAAATTGTCTTTGTAGGTTCTTTAGATGAGTCGCTATGGTTTCTGTACAAGTATGTAAGAGACGCGGTTGATAGAGAGGAGACATTGGACGCGATTCTTGTTCCCATGATTGAACACGTAATCAATTACTATTGAAACCACCTTCTTCTTCTTCTTATTTATTTTTAATCTTTAATTTTTTTAAAGTCTTCTTGTTGTTATTGTACAATTTTGTACAGTAAAATTTTCGTTCAGTAATTCCGTTCAAATTAATAAACCTTTTTTAATTTGATTCATTAATCATTTAATCTTGGGACGGGATATATAGAGTTTATTAACATGACTGAGAATTTTATATGTTTGCTAAACTGTAATTTAGTGACCTGTTTATTGTAATATATATTCCTTAGTCCAAACAATATTACTCGAGAGAGGTTTTAGTTTAATTGAAGAGATGATAGTAACTAGGATCTTATTCTCTCCACTGGTGAAATCTTGATGGTTCATGCTAACTTTAGTGGATATGACATGTGGTAATATAAGAACTATGGATATCTTGCCTTTGTTACTGTGGAAGTATACAATTTAGGCTTATTTAGATGTTATTTGAGATGGATGGGTTTCCATCACTCATTTTGTGTTTAGTTACAGATTAAGGTATTGTAATCTGTGTGATACAACTTTTAATGAACTCAATATGGGATTTTGATGTTGAGTATGATTTGGTGCATTTAACTGAATGGTAAATAATGGATTTATTAGAAGGAGGAAAGTAATAAACGAGAAGTATTTATGATGAATGTTTCTTATAAATAAAAAGTAATGAGAATGAATATTAGTTCTTGGCATTCATAACCTAAAAAAATTTTCAAAAACAGAAGGACTTGGAGCTGGACAAAACATGAAGCAACAGTATTTGTTGTTCTGTAACCTTGCTCTTCTGTTAGTTGTATATTTGTAGAGCCCTTTTAGGTAAATAAGTATTTCATATTAAATGTATGTGTATATATTTTTTCCAGTCATTAAGAAGCAAGGAGTCAAAGCACGGTGATCAAGCCATGATACTTCTAAATTGGTTGTTTAAAGATGAACATCTTTTCCAAGTTCTGGCCTTGAATCTTGCTAACATTATTATGAGGAAGGACGATCGTTATATAACCCTTGGCTGGTGTATCCTTGTGCGCAGTCTCTTGGAGTACGGGACTACAATGGATCAGCACTTATTAAATGGTAAAATTTGTGGTTACTGGGTTCTTCTTTGGCATGAATTATCTTTCTCCCAAGTTCTTCTCTAACTTCTCTCTCTCTCTTCCTCCTTCCCTCCCTCTTTCTCTTTGTGTTGTCATTGACATTCGTTGTCTTCTCATAGCTGTGTCTGGACCCAATTCCAATTTGAGATTTTTTTCAAATGTTAAAATCTTAAAAGACAGGATTCATTTTCTTTAGGTTTGATTCTAAGGATGAAGCAGTATATATGGTTGCAGGTTTTCTTGCACTCCTGATTATATTGCTGTTCGGAAGTTTACTTCATAATAATAATAAAAAGAGGAAGCTAACTTTCTGTCATGGCTTACTCTTTGCTTTGATGATTTTGGAGTTGCAATTTTATTTTTCTTCTATGACAGGAATAAGAGCGAAGTATGATGCATTGTTGAAGATACTTTGTTCTTGTATTCCACAGTTATCATATTTTGTATGTAAAGGAAGGTATAACTCTTTTTCATGTTAAGTTAATCTTGTATAGCTTTATTTTCACTCAGTGAATTGTTGAAATTTGAAGGAATTGTTCAGTGGTTGCTTTCATGTATGAGCTGATTTATCTGTTCCTACTTTTTGGTCGATCAACTCAAACTTTGTCTCCTCATCTTGTTTGGTTTGGTAACATGTATTTCTGGAAAATTAAATGCTCTCAATTGTGTTGTTATTGTCATGAAAGAATATTGTTAATGGGAAATCTGATGCTGTGGAAAACTGATGTCTCACATATTGAATTGCAATTACGAAGATATTGTGCTAATTGGCTATTGGTTGGTATGGATGTTTGCTTGGTTATTTGAAATTTGTGACATGGATTGCTCTGTAATGAGTAGTAATCTAAAACTTGGGGATGTAGCATTGGGGAGGAGATGGTCCTTTTACAAGAAAAGAAAACCAAGTGAAAAGACCTAGTTCAAAGCAACTAAAGTGTTGCTAATATAATCTCAAAATTCTATAGAGTAATAAAATGACTGCCAAACACTTTTAGAGTCTTTGTTTAAGCAAGGCATTAATTCAGGCTGAAGGTGTTACAAGAGGTGAGACAAGACATTGCCTACTCTATAAGATAAGAACTGGATCTAGATAGAGTTATGTGCCTTAAATGGTAAAGAAAATGTAGCTAAACTTGTTGTTGAAGTAAGTTGTTTAAATATTTTGACAGGTATCTTTGTTTCTCTCTGTAAGAGCTTAAATACTGTTGGACCTTACCTTTGAGCTTAAGCTTTTAATTAAGTGATTATTAATCTTTTATCAGAGCTAGGTTGACCAAGTGGTCTTATATTTGAAACCCTTGTTGTATTAATTAAATTATCAGAAGTTATGTTTTTGGTTATGGTTTTAATTGTATTTGTGGTTATGCTTATGTTTGGTATATGTACAAGTGTATGGTAGGGGTGTGTGAGAATATAAATATTATTATTGGGTCTTTACGTATTGACTAAAGCTTTTGGGTCTGGTGGTTATTTAACACTCCTAAACTATTGAGGCTCATTTTATATACTGTTTCATTCTGGTAGTACTAGTTATTTGCAATGGAGAACCTTTATAAGAGGATGCTTAGATTTCAACATTCTGGGAAAAGAAATACTTTTGTTATCGTATAACCAGCATGTCTGTTACTTGTGCTATTTTGTTGGCAGTATTAATTCTAATTTAATTAAAAAGGGACTTTTAAATTGTTTTCACTTGGGAGAATATGTTATTGTACCTTTTCACTTTTGCTTAAGAATCCAAAGTATATGATTTTTTAAATAAAAGCCAATGTTCAATGGTGCAATATTGCCTATGATTCTCCGGTTATGTGAATTTTGTAAATGCTAAGTAAGAGGAAATGATTAGTGGCATACTATGTATCTTGATGGAGAAATTTATTTGATAGTTTCATTTTTTGAGTAAGTAATATGTGTCTTGTGTCTATTTATTCTACAGTAATATGCAGAATGGATATGAGTTGCCATCTCGCCTTTCAATATCTGCTGCTGATTGTTTTATATCTCTGACCGAAGCTTTGACAAAAAAGCCTAAATTTTCAAGTGACGCTCAAAAACCATCAAATTCAAAAGCATCAGATCGACCAACTATTTTAATGTTGTCTGCCTCTGGGGAGAAGAAAGTGAAACCAACAAATGAATCTTCAGAACTCTCAAGCATGGACATGGAGTTCTTGCTTTGGGATCATCTAGAAGACCTTGTTGTTCTTGTGCAGAGACTCCTTGCAGTATGTTCTTTACTAATTATTTGCTTGATGTGCCTTGTTTATATTGTCCTATAACTGTTTGATCATGGTCGGGTCCTGAATATACTGTATGTTAGCTTTTTCCTGTATTATTGCAATTCTTTATTATGGCTTAATTATAATGTTGACATGTGGAAGAAAAATAGTTTAAGAACATAAGGTAGTCCTGAAGTTACAGTTGCCAACATATGTATTTTAATTGATACTATCATGTTCTCTGGAAGAAGCAGAACAATTAAATAGGAAACTCTTTAGGTTGAAGGGGTTGTTTGGATCGGGGGTATATAAGACAACGGAGGTAATCTTTGTTTATTTTGCAAGATTTCGGTGTTTGGTTTGCAAGTAATAAAATATTACGATAATCTTTTATTACAAATAGTGTTTACTGCAGGTAATGTGAGGGGTAATCTTATTACCTTATTAGGGGTTGTTATTAAAACATTACTGGGGTAATCTGATTTTTCTATCCATTTTGCCTTTAATTAAAAACCATTTCGGACACAATTGCCCTCAAATGTCTACCAAATAACAATTATCCAGCTCTCTTACATTTGAGAAATTAGCTAAAATACCTTAGCCATAAAAAAGTTTAAAAGTTTACAAAATACCCTCGGTCACCTAAGACCACCGCCGACTGTGACTCACCACCGTCGGCGCTCGCCGTCGGCGTCAGTTGTCATAATGGTGCACGACCAGCGGGATCTGGCCGATCATGTGTTGTTACAGCCAGATTTGGCGTTTCTATAGCCATTTCACGGCCAGATATGTGGCTGTGAAATGGCATGGCCACATCTTTGGCATGGCCACATCTTTGGCCGTGAAATGACCATAGATCTGGCGGTTTTCTGGCCATGGATTTGTGATCCATGGCCATTTCTGGTTTTGCTGGCGCACGGTCGGCCATATACGGCCAGTCGTGCGCCATTTCGTCGATTGCCGATGGCGGCCAGCGGTGGTGGCTGGTTGTCGGTAGTAGCTTGGGGTAGGTGGGGGTGATTTTGCTACAAATTAAAGTTTTATATGGTTGGGGTGTTTTAGCAAAATTTCAAATGTATGGGGTTAAAAGAATTGATCTAAAAATAATAATAAAAATAACATACCCACCCATTTATCCTTCCAACCAAACACATATTGTAAACATTCCTAGTAATCTTCAAGGTGATCTTTCTTTTCGTTAATATAATATATCCCTATAATAAAACATTATATGATCTAAACGCCCCCGAAAAAGTATTTCCGGTGATATTTATCTTGTATTACCCTCTTTTTCCTCTTTTGTTTATATGCTGCTTGCTTTCTGGCCTTTTAGGAGTTATACTTTCTGAGGGTGAAACAAGATTTATATTTCTCTGGGATTTAGATAATAATTGCAGGGATTGTATTGTAGAGAAAAGTTTATCTATATTTATATGTGTATACTTTTGTAGGTGCTGTAAGTCCTTGGGAGGTCTTAGACTTGTGAATTTAGAGTGCCTAATTCCTCAAAGCTTGTACCACCTCTCAATATACCCTGAAAGTTCTTCATTGTTTTGTTCTGTCCAACGATAATTTTTTTTTTTTTTTTTTTTTTTATGTACATAAAATATATTTGAAAAGTTATTGGTGTGAGTATCAGACCCTAATAAGACAGGTCTTGGATAAAAAATAGACATGTGATGTTTTGGGGTGGAAGGATCCCTTTATGCTGTTCTGGAGCTTCTACTTGATGAATATTTTTAGGTGATTTTCTAAAGATGTAAATGGCTTAAAACACTAGTTTTATTACTTTGTCTAACCTACTTTAACTTAGTACTCATAAGAAACTCCAATATCATGTTGATGCATCTATTATGCACTGTAGTGGAGCAAAAAAAGTCGGCCTTTACATGCTGAAGGATTAGAGAAAGTTCTCAAGTGGTTGGAGGAACTAAAAGGGCATTATTGTGGCATTCAAGATGAGGCAGGTCCTATACCTAATACATAATTCTGGGAATATCATGTATATTATTTTGTCTAATATCTTGAGCATCATGATGTTTTTTGTCTGCAACATGAAAGACAGGCTCAAAAAATCTTAAGTCTGGACCACTGCTACTTTCTTCTTGTTGGAAGCATTACGGCATGCTATTGCACTTGGAAGATCACAAATTTTTCAAGCACTGCAAAGAACTGTTAGACCAGTATTTATCAGGCATTCAGGTAAAATTAATTAAGTATTAATTCTGATAGTAATATATTGCTTCTATAAAAAACAATAATTTTGTATTATTAACCATGATATATTTTGTGTTGCAAGATAAAGTAGTTTAAAATTGTCCATTT